ATGGGAACTTCTCTGATTGGTGGATCTCTCTTTAGGATTATGGGTGAGGTAGATCTTCAAATTCTGATTTTTGCTGCTAAAACTGGACTGTTGTTGTCTATTAAAGCTTGAGTTTAATTTTATAAACAGTTATTAATGCTAGAGTGCATCCTGCATGAATCGATTTTACATATTCAAACACAGTGTGATTCAGACGAGGTTGTAAGTTCTTCACAAATCACCTGTCAAACTCTCTCCATTTCACCTGGACTCTTTAACAGCCTCTTCTGAGATGTCTCCATCCTCTTCTTCACATCTGTCTCAGATTCATCTCATCTCACGCCTGTCATCCTGTATGGCCAGAACGCCTCGTGATGATTTCCATAAGAATGTCAGATCTCGCTTGGCATGCGTGTTTACATGCGACACAGAGCCACACGCGCGTTAGCTGCTGTTATCATCTGATGTCTGGAATGTCTGGAAATAACCCACAATTCAACATTATATAAACAGTAGAAAATCCCACCGGCAGACTCAACAAACACACATGCACAGTAATAGATTGGAGTGAGAGGAGGATTTGGAGATGACAGATTTCATTAGCAGAAGTGGCAGGTCGAGACTCTCGCAAGTCTGTCGACATGTGCCGGACACCAAATCCCTGATGGAGAGAAAAAGAGAGAACATATGCACATGCACACAACAGAGTGTGTGCTTGCTCTCTGAGCGCACACATACAGTATGTTGTATAGTGTGTATTTGTGTGAGCAGCTTCAACCATAATTTTCTTATGTGTACAAGTTGCTATGTGGCTATATGGTGTTCTGAGTAGTTTTTGCATGGTGCATACTGTTTTTTAATATGCCACTGTGTGGTTGCTAAGGTGTTCTGGGTGCTTAGTAGCAAGCTGCCAGGATGTTGTGTTTTACGATATCACTGTCTGGTTGCTAAAGTGCTCTGGGTGGTGTTTTTTTTACAGTTTTATATGAAGAGAGTCCCCCCTCACATCTCTGTGATCTTATGATCTTTAGATTATGGCTTGGGTCCCTCCAGTAAATCTGCAGGATTTTTTCTCCTGTTTAATTTTCCACCAGGTAAACACACTGAAGTTAGGCATTTGTTGAGACACTAATAGTAATGCTTACCTTAGAAAAAACACTAATAATCCAATTCAAAACTCACTCCATATCTAATGCTTTCGGTTAAAATTAGAGCTAGTGTGGTTAGTTAGTTCGCAGGCCCTAGTTGTTTGTTCCAGCGCGGGAGTGTGTGTGTGTGTGTGTGTGTTCATGTGCGCGGATTTGAGCGCTGCATCTCGTAATAACCCATGAGTCGGATGACAGGTGAGAGCAGACAGAAGCACCACGCCTACGTTCTGCTGTTTGTCCTGCACTGTGACAGTACGGATTCCGCGTGTTCTGCTTTCACTCTCGAGTCAGTACGACTGCAGTGTCACCTCAGATGGCACGACAGCGGATTGTTCACGGACACACAACAGTGACAAGAGCGTTCTCCAAATCACAAGGGTGTTGTATATATGGTACCAGAGCTTTAGAGCTTTTGAGGATAAACATGTGGCTAGATGTGTTAAAGTTTGTGAGGTGCATCACATCTCAAAGGGAAATTAATTAAGAGTGAATTGTGCCTGCTGAGAGTAATGTTTATTTGCACACGTCTTCATGTTCCGCATGTGGTTATAGGGTCTCTACTCTCTAGCCTGGCCAAAAACCATTTCGGCTGATCTATTAAGAGGGTTTTAGGCCACTCTAGCAACCAGGTAAAGCCAGCAAAGACCAGCAAACCACTTTTCAAATTTGATCGAAAGACATACAATTGCTGACCCGGCAATTTCAATGACCTGCCCGAGGCCAGCATGAAAGATGCTCAGGACAGTTGACTGGTCACTGCTGTGCGTCATCACGAAAGCTTATAATTTTCACGTGTTTTTAAGGAATTTTAAAGCATTCAAGCACAAGAAGACGCGAAGGAACATAACAGAGTGCTCGAACACCGAATTGAGTAGTTCTACGCATCTTCTTGCTCTTGAACGAACAAATACACCTGACCAATTTAAACATTCAAGCACAAAAAGATGCAAAAGAGCTTGACTCAGCACCCGCGAGTTTTGCGCCTTATTGCGCTTGAACTTAAAATTATGTTGAAATACTCGTCTTGGCGAATATCCTCGAAAAACTGTTGGCTATGTCTTAAGTGAACGTAAACGGTTGAGAGAAATCGGATGTGTATCATTATACTGGATCCATGCCGTGGGAGAGAAAAAAAAGAGAGAAAATCACTCACTGCTCTTGACTGAATTATTTTTGTAGTTTTAACAAGAATTAATCTATATTTAATTTATACAGTGATGATGATGCAATATTTTAAATTTGATTATTCAGTTCTGTAACTGAACGCCTACAGACTTGAAAAAACTTAAATCATTGTTTAATTTGTATCTTTGTTCTACTTATTTATTTGTGCTATTTACATGATTTCAAACAGGGCCCACAGGAACAACCTGCACCGGGGGCCCACAAACCCCAGCTACGGCCCTGCGCTCAATCGTGTAGTGTATGAATTAAAAAAGGTTATTTTGTAATTCAGCATCGGAGTCTGGCCCTTTCCCTCCGCTACGTAATTAAAGTTGCGACAGGTGAGTTATGAAGTGTCCACAACATTCCACACTTGCAGTCTTTCCACTTGACCCGCGTATGATGAGACATATCCTCGCTCACGAGGGCTTGTATTGCGCACACAGGTGATGTGATGCGCGCGCGAGTGTTTAAAAAGCTTGCAGGCTCCCGTTTCCTTGCGCGCGGATCCGTTATCCCCTCACAGAAGCAATTTACCGTGCTCGTAAATATAATTTGCCGGCATAGTCATTCCACTGATTTTCAATGGGGTTTAAATCTGGGCTCTGACTAGACCATGCAAGGACCAGATTTGACTATTTTGCCTCATCTATTTTTCCTTCTATCCTGAGAAGTGCTCCAGTCCCTGCTGCAGAGAAACTCCCCCATAACAGAACATTACCACCTCCATGCTTTACTGTAGGAGTGCTGTTATTTGGATGCTGAGCTGTATTGGATTTCCGCCAGACATATCGTTTGCTGTTGAGGCCAAATAATTCAATTTTAGTTTCATCTGACTCAGAATCTTCAAGGTATGTTTTGGCAAAGCTCAATCTGACTGCATGTGGCCTTTCTTGAGGAGTGGCTTTTTTCTTGCAACTCTCCCATACAAGAGAATTTGTGATATTGTCACATGCACACAATGACCACTCTTTGTCATAAATTCCTGCAACTGCTTCAGAGTTGCTGTAGGCATCTTGGTCTCTTCTCTGACCAGATTCCTCGTGACTCTTTCATCTGGAGCAACGTCCTGATCCAGGGAGGGTCTGTGTCGTACCAAATACCTTCCACTTTTTAATAATGGACTTCACTGTGCTTCTAGGCATTGATAAAGCCTTTTAATTTATTTTTTGTATCTATCTCCTAACTTGTGCCTGTCCACAACTATATCCTGGAGATCTTCTGACAGTGCCTTGCCACATACTTGATTGTTTGGTTCAGTTGCACTACCAAGGACTGAAATGCTCCAGGAAAGCTCTTTTCATGCTGAGTAAATCAAAATGACCACAGCTGATCACAGTTGAAAGTCAAATGGCTTTGTGTGCTATTGAGAAGGCGATTAGCTACACCTGATTGAGTTTACGAGTCATTTTTAGGAGGGGGTGATCCTTTTTTCCAACTTAGGAGGGAGTGATCCTTTTTTTCTGATATGTTGGTGTTATATCTTTCACTTAGATGTTATAAGTTGCACTGAATAAATACAGCTGGATAAAACAAAAACTGTGTCCGTCTTCCTTTTAGGCTGCAAAGCAACAAAATGTGATTATTTTAAAGGAGGTGATTCTCTATACCCACTTATATATATGCACACATATATATTAGTAAATGTTTTATTTGAATTGATTTATTTGAATTTATTATTATTATTATTATTAATAATAATAATTTATTTTAACATTTTATGATTTAATGAATAACTTTTCATCAATTCATGAACCCCCCTAAAGTATCCTCACAAAACCCAGTTTTGGAAATCCTGCTTTAAAATTTTCAAAAATATGTCACTTAAAACATAAGGTTACATCCCACACGTCCACTTTATCAGTTTCAGTTGTCAGTTTCACTATCTGCTGGACTGAATCTTCTGGCCTTTCTTAATTCTGTCTGTCTGAATGTCTTCTACAGGTGGCAGGCCATTTTCTGCTGTCGATCCCTGACTTTAGAAACTCCCACTTCACTGTGATCTTTCGTCTCCAAAATCACAATTAAAAACCCATTACTTTTAGATTGTGTTGTCAAACCATGAGCTCTTTTTTTTACGTTGTTCTGATTCACTCTTTATTCTTCCTGTGTAAAGAAACTTTAAGTCTAAGAAAATTATAAACCATTACTATTAACATTTTTATGACAATAAACAGGGTGCAATCGAGTTTCCTTCAATTCTGTGACATTAAACCAGATTTTATTGATTTAGGTAGCTGCTATATACACGTCAACAGTTTAACTTTAACTTTCCAATAAGATTCTCTGTTGCTCAGCATTTGATCTGAAAGAAAAAACTGACTGTAGAAGAAGAGTTTACACTAATGCCAGATATAGCACCCCTTGTGCTAAACACTGAAGATGCAACACATACACTTTGTATTTTTTGGACACATTTCAAGATGCATGAAATTTAATTTGAGTATGTCTCAGGCCTAAGTGAGCGGCTCATGACAATAATAAATACATTTTATTTGTAATGCACCTTTCCTATACTCAAAGCATTAGCTATATAAATTAATGGAATAAGCAGCACAGTGAACTGAACTTTACGTTATTGTCGGTGAGTGTTAACGGATTCTGATCACCTGTAGAAGTGCTCATCTGTCGTCCAGTATCTATCCCAGGGTTCCGCGGGGCGACTGGCTCGTCAGAAAAAAATGAGATGGTGATGATGATGATGGCGGCGCTGGTGGGACAGTAATGAGTGATGGCTTCTCTCCAGGGAAAGAAATATGTGTGTGAGGAAGGAAAAAAAGAGGAATGTATGGGGAATAAGTGGTGTCATTCTTCTCGCTATACGCCAGTGCGTTTGTGCCCTAGAGGACTGGAATATAATCAATATCCTTCTGTTCAAATGCTCTCTCTCTCTCACACACACACACACACACACACACACACACACACACACTTGGTGTTTGTAGAGGAACTCTTCAGCATGATGTATCTCTTTACGGTTCTGGTGGAGGTCAATTAAACCAAATCAAATGTTTGGGGTCTTGTCAAACATCCATGAGTCTGAGAAAGAAAGAGGTATCCTGTACGAATGAAAAAAAAAACAAATTAATGGACCTTAATCAGGGAAGATGCCATTTTTAATTGGATGCAAATGAATATGAGGCTTTTGGCTACTGGAAATGTTTTGGAAAAACATTTTAATATTTGATTGACTAAAAGATCAAATGTTTTCCATTTCAAATTGCATTTATTAAAGGTCAATAACACAAAGACAGCAATGAGATTAAATGGAGATCAAACAGAGAAAGCAAATAAATATTCTCAGATGTCTCTCCTGAAAAAAAGAACCCAGAAATGAAGAGACCTCAGCAACGTATTAAACTCAGGTGAATTGTTGAGATGTTCATTAATATAAAGCTATAATAAAGTAAAAATATTAAAAGCTTCTCAGACAATAAGTTAATATCAATAATAATAAATGAAAATAAGTTTAAGATAACAAAAAAAAGTACTAAAACTGAAATACAAATAAATTAAAGCTAAACAGAAATATATATATATAAAAAAACAGAACTAATAAAATAACAAGCCATAATAAAATGACAAGAACTTAATTTCAAATTAAAATGAAAGTATTAAAATAAAACTGAAAAAAGTTAATAAAAAAAACATTAATAACATCTTATAAATAATTCAATTATATGAATATATATGTATATATATTTTCTAAAGATCAAATTATCTATGCTGCTATAGACATTCAATTTATAACTTTCTTCAATCTTAACTTTATATTCAATCTTGTTATTTTATAGTTCTCTGTATGAAAACTATTGACTCATTTGGGTTTTTATTCCTCTTGTAGGAGAAACATTTGAGGCAAATATATTTGAACGAAACCTCACTGAGAACTCTTGAATTATAAAAGAGAAATCGCTGAGCAATATAATGTTCCTCCGGGGGAGACTGCAGTGCTGGCACGTGATTTTAATGCATAAATAAATAAATTAAACCAACGAGCCAGGCACATACACAGACCGCAAACCCATGCCACTGCATTCATGTGATGCCCCCGGAGGGTGGCATCATCTCACAATGTCACATTCACCTGCCTCTTCCTCTCCTCCTCTTCCTCAGCGACTCCCTGAAGACATCTGGACACACGCCAGACGAGATGTCATGCACCCCGAGCCTTCAGGTCGCTCTCCTGGAGCCGTGCCCGTGTTTATTTCCCGTTTTATATCATGAGTTCGACGTTTGAATGTGTCACTGCAGCTGAAACAGGATTTAGACTGTTTAGCATTCAGCAGCGTGTCCCAAAACAACCTCTGCTGTACCTCGCCTGGGACACAAAAACTAAATATGTTATGATCCAAACATCATGTCCCTGAACCTTTATGAATGAATCACTATCACGTAGTGTACTGGGAAACATAATTTGGCCAAATTTCAAAACAATACTATATTCATTAATTCACTGATTCAACTCATTTCAATTCAAATTCGTCTCTGACCTGAACACAAGGATGTATAATATGTCTCAAAACAACACAAGACTTAGTTCAAGTGAAATCAACTCATTTTAAATCAGTCTCTGACTTATTTAAATAAATATAGTCATACTACACATAAACAGAATGTACTTTTTTTAACGGCTTTGAAGAAGTACCTGCTCAGAGGTTATGCGATTTCAGATGCAGACCATGTGTCTAAGAGGATGTTTGATCTGCTGCTGGTTCCTGTGGACAGAGGTGAGTATTTGTACTCATGCACAAGCAGGTGAGTGCTTTGCAGCTGCGTTAAAATGCCCCTCACATGAGTAATGGCCGGCCTCCTTTAACACCTGACTCAGATGATGATGGGATATCTGCAGGCACGAATGATTTCCGTTGGCTCATTTCTGATATATTAGAACAGAATGATGAATACAAGTAAACAATATATGATGCATTAGATATTATGAATCATATTTCAGTAGATATGCCACAATATTGACTAAAATGTACTATTCACCCTCATATTCAACCAAACCCATATGCAGTTATTTTTCTGTGCAACACAAAAGAGAATTTTATTTGTCAAGCTCCAAAAAGGAGAGAAAATATTATAAAATTGTCTGTCCATAATACGTTTTTAAAGCTTGTTTATAGCTCACGTTCACGTCCAGAACCCATAATTCAAATTCTCATAAACATGTGAAGGAAATGCAGACATTTTCACCTAGCAAGTGTCGTAAATATAATAATGAACCTCAATGAAGACGTTTTGTCTCTTAAGAGGACAAATGTGTGACCGCAGACTCTGGTGAGCGAATTTACAGACAAAAGGACGTCTAAAGGGTTTCCTCATCCTCCACGATCCCGCTGGGTTAAGCAACGTCTGCCCACGAGAGGCTCAGACAAGAAACCAAGCGGATTCTTATAGACCACAGGAGGATGAATCATCCTGCCACTCACAGGGAATGCTGAATGGAAATTAAAGGCATATTTCATACTGAAACTCCCTGAGGGCCGAGACGAGTCTCCATGGAGATAAAGAAGCTGTAAATTTTATTTTATGTCTTAAAAAACACAGGAGTGATTTGTAGAAGGCCATTAATAACTAAAAATAGGCACACCTGAGGTAAGAAATCAACTTTGGATAGAAAAACATCTCAATAAGTTGAAGGATTTAAAGCCAAAAATGAAATCAAAACTGATTGAGTTTGAGTAAACGATGACAGGTTTTTAATCAGTTGCTTTAAGCACTTCCCAATGACTTCTGTTTACACACTGTCCTTGTGTGAATGAAGACAGGAATGAAAGTGATGAAGAACAGAATGCGTGTTTATGAGAGGACGGCGATATGGAACCGTTTCTGTCAAACATCCGCGATACACAATGTTTAAGAGCAGCACTTCACACTGCAGACATGCTCAATAAACACTGGCCTTTTATGAGACGTTTGACCCCATCGTTCCCATCCATTTACAGCTTTTATGTTTTTTTTTCGGCTAGACAGATGTGCTGTCTCTCGCTTCAGAATTACAGCAAACAACCAATACAGCTAAATGAAACTATAATAATCCACTTAAGTGGAACATTAATAATAATGTTCCACTTATTCTTAACAGATCTTTCAACATCATAAATGCACATGTGCATGTTTTTGATCTACTGTTTCCCAGTATTATTTGCACTATAAAGAGGATTTTGCCTTTTTAATAATTTACAAATAACAACAAATGCACAGGCGTATTTAAATGCACAAGCATGAAAAAATACAAATTCAAAACCAACTCTATTTACTGTCCAAATGCACATTTATGTTTACCATCACCACTGAAGTACATACTAGTAGTGTGTAGTAGAAGTATGAGTCAAACTAAAAAAACTCATAACGCCAAGGCACTTGAAAATATAATGAAAAATAAAAAGCCTTTATTCTCACATGGCTTTACATTAAAAACAACTTACAAGTACACCGACGCGTTGCGAATTCGATCAATTCGTCATATGACACTGTCACCTGATTAAGTGTAAAAACAACACAAAGAGAATTATTTTTCGTAAATATAATGAAATCCAGTAAATTCTAATTATTATTATTTAGATATAATAATACATAGAATCGAAAAACATATACATACACACACACACACACACACATATATATATATATATATATATATATATATATATATATATATACATATACAAAAAAAAACTTTTAGAACCCCCCAAATATTCCTAAAATACAACATAGATCCAAAAAATAATCAAGTCAGTTACAAAAAAGGTGAAAAATCTAATTCACCATTTAAACCTGGAAACTGAGTTGCCTTCAATGTATAGATCCAGAAAGACTCTCTCTGTTGTAACCTTTTTATCCTATCTCCTCACCTTATTGACCCCGGAACATGTTCTATACCAATTATTTTCATTGTACTAGGATTACCATGATTTTTATCTCTATATTGTAAGGCCATGGGGTATTGTGGATTAGTATAGCATTCTTATGTTCTGCTAATCTCAGCTTCAGCTTCCTCTTAGTCATCCCTATATAAAAACTACCACATGGACACTCCAACCGATACACCTCAAATTAAGCATTGCAATTAATAAATTAATTTACCTTAAACTCACGGCCTGATGTCATCGATAAATGTGTTTGTCTTAACCATATTATCACAGTGATTGCAATTACCACATCTGTAATTTCCTACATTTGAACATAACCAAGTATTTGACTTTCTAGAGGAAAGGTGACTTCTCACCAATTTAATAGTTGGTGTTTTTACTATAAGCACAATGGAAGGGGATTCAGGCAGAACTTCCCTAAGGTGAGGATTACTCATCAAGATTTCACAATTAGTTTTTGCAATTTTCTTGATTTTATTTGCCTCTGTACTGTATTGTGTCACAAAATAAAGAGTTTTCAGAACGACTTAACTTTTTTCTTTGAACCAATAACTTATCTCTACTGATGTTTTTAGCTTTATTATATGCCTTATAGATCACACTATTTTTATATCCTCGTTCTTTAAATCTTTGAATCATATCTTGGGCCTTGATGTCAAAATCCTCCTCATTATCACAAATTCTTTTTAACCTCTGAAATTGTACAAAAGAGATGTTATCTGTCAACCTTGGGGAGTGAAAACTGTCTGCTCTTAAGATTTCTGTCAGTTTCTAAAAATAGTTTTAAGCAATTTTCCTTTATTACCCTTAAATATTTTTTAATAAAATAAAAAAACATAATAATAATAATAATAATAATAATTTGAGTAAATGAAAAATCTAAACTGAGCTTCAAATATACAGTAGTGGTATTTAAATATGAATAAAAAGCCAACAAATCTACCTCTGAGCCCGACCGTTTAAAAATTATGTAATCTATAAATCTCTAAATATGGATTGGAACCAGAAAATACAAATTTGTTTTGCCAAATTCCCAAAAATAAATTTGCATAATTAGGGGCAAAACAAGCACCCATTGCTGTCCCCTTAATTTGTTTGTATAACTGAACTTGAAACAAAAAAAAAACATAATTTTTCAATGCCTATTCTGCTAATTGTAAAATAAAACAAGCCATTGGTTTCTCAAAAGATGATCTAATTTCTAGATTTCTTGTGAGAATAAAGGCTTTTTATTTTTCATTATATTTTCGAGTGCCTTGGCGTTATGAGTTTTTTTGACAAATTAGGAAATCCCGCACAGATTTATGGACTTTATACCCCAGCAGCATTTTTTTGATGTATGAGTCAAACTCCTTTCATAAAATATTTAGAATTAAAAAAAAATACTTGATACATTTATATGAACTTAAATAAATAAAACAATGCACCCAGGAGAGCCTTTTATGAGAAAATCTTTGGAAATGTTTTCACAAGCCTTTTAGCAGTCTATGGACAGTTGCCAGGCAATATCCGAATGTTTAATGGAGTGGAACAAAGCATTGTTGAATCATTTCAAAATCAAGAGACTCACTTTCAGAGGGCATCTGTAAGTGTGCGTGTCCCGCATCAGCAGATGTTCTGTCGAGCTCTAGTGACTGCCATTGAGGGTTGACAGCACACATGGTGTATGAACGCACCGATGATGGTGGAGGACGATGATGTCACAGATTTCCCTGAAGAAAGAACTAGTGCTTCAAGATCAGTGTTAAAAGTTTCAGATAACAGGTATAAAAACAGCATTATGGCATTACTGAATGCTGAACATCCCATCAGTGTGAGTCATCTGGGATTTTTAAATGTTAATATTTAAATTAAAATTGAAATAAAAAACAATGGTAAGTTTTTTTTTTTACCTTGAAATATCAGTTTCAAAATCATTCTGATGGGACACTGAATTCTTATAAGGCGAATGGCTTCTGTTTCTTTCCCCCAAATGGCTGTTCTGGGAGTAGACTATGTAAGTTTGGTGAGCGGGTATGACATTCCATGAAAAGGGTGAGTTGGTTACCGGCAACAACAAATGCACGTCTACAGCTGACCAAAGCCCCAAAGCTTGTATTAAAAAAAAAAAAAAACATTTCACATTAAACCACTGTACTAGAGCTTGATTCATTTTGCCAAAAGCCTGTGATCTATGACATCTAAAGTTTTGTTCGCCCAAGAGCCTGAAACGCTCTGGTAACTAACGTAATCTCGGTTGCCTGAGATAAGGGAACGAGCGTTGCATTACACGCTATGGGGAAACTCCTAAACACCTGAATACTGAAACCTGATTTGGTGCTACATTTCCCTTGGACAGCATGTCCACTCCTTGGTTCAGTCTGCCCGCCACATGAACTGCTCTCAGCGAGAGGAGGTTGCACTGTGCTCATAAAATGAGGCATCGAGCCAATCTCTGGAGGGAGTGTGACCTGAGACCGCCTTGGTGATTTATAAAGGCTTCCACCATCATGTTGTCCAAGCAGACCAGGACATGGTGCCCATTTAAGGCCAACAGGAAGGTTTTTAGGGCTAGAAAGACCGCCATCATCTCAAGGCAGTTGATGTTCATTCCAGGTTTGACCAGGAACCGAATGCAGATTTGCCCTCACACAGAGCTCCCCAACCCGAGTTGGAGGCATCTGTCGGGATCACCTTCCTTCTGGAGGTCAGTTCCAAACGGAACGCCTTAGTGAAACAGGCGAGAGGTTTTCCAAGGGGCCACAGCTCTGATGCAGCGGTGAGTTACCTTGAGATGAAAACATCCCAGGCACTGAGACAAAATTGGAGGAGCAGCATATGAAGCAGGCCCAATGGAATCACAGAGGAAGTGGCTGACTTAAGG